TTTATTTTATTTTATTTTATTTTATTTTATTTTATTTTATTTTATTTTATTTTATTTTATTTTATTTTATTTTATTTTATTTTATTTTATTTTAGTTTAGTTTATTTTATTCTATATTATTTTCTTCCATTTTATATTATTTTATTTAAATTTATTTCATTTTCTTTTATTATGTTTTGCTTTATTTTACTTAATTTTAAATTTTATTGTTTCATTATATTTGATTATATTTCATTTTATATTATTTTATTTTAATTAATTTTTTTTTTTTTATTTTATTTTATTTATTTTTTTTAATTCTTTTTCTTTTATTTTATTTGCTTCATTTTATTTTTTTATTTTTTTATTTTTTTATTTTACTTAATTTTAAATTTTTTTGTTTTCTTATACATGATTATATTTAATTTTATATTATTTTATATTTCTACATTTTATTATATTTTCTTTTATTTTATTTTTTTTATTTTATTTTATTTATTTTTTTTTTGCTTATTTTATTTTCTTTTATTTTGTTTTTCTTTATTTTATTTTATTTCATTCTATGTTATTTAATTTTTTATATTATTTCTTTTTTTAATTTGTTTTATTTTATTTTGTTGTATTTTATTTTATTCTATTTTATGTTATTTGTCCTTATTTTGTTTTTAAAGTTTATTTAATTTTAGTTCAATTTAATTAAATTTTGTTCTTCGTTATTTTGTTTTATTTTAATTTATTTTATGTTATTAAGTTTTTTTAATATGTTTTATTGCTTAATTTTACTTTATTTCTCTTTGTATGATTTTATGTGGTTTTGTTTTATTTATATTATTTGAGTGTATTTTTATTATATTACGTACAATTTTTTCTTTTTATAAATTGATTTAATTAATTCCATTATATATTTTTTTGTTTTATTTCATTTACCGTTATTTTATTTAATTTTTTTTTTTAAATAATTTAGTGTAATGTAATCTATTTCATTTCATTTTATTTGTTTATTTTTTTGTTTATTTTAATTAATTTTTCATTTCTTTTATTTTATTTTATTTAACTGAATTTAATTTTAGGTAATTCAATTTGATTTAATTTTACTTAATTTGTTTTATATTTTTATTTTATTTTATTTTTTTTGTATTAAGTTTTTGTTCATTTTATTTTATTCTATGTTGTTATATGTTGATTTGTTCTTTTAAAGTTAAGTTAATTTTATTTTATTTCACTTACTTTATATATTTCATAGTTTTTTACATAGGAATGATGCAGAACAGAGCTTTTTACCCATTTTTGCATACATTGTATGATGTGTTTATGAAACATTTAAGCCAATAGCATTAATAAAGCCACCACAAAATCAATATTCACTATTTAAATTGGACCAACATGTAGCTCCAACGAAAAACTAATTAATAATTTCCAAATGAGCTATTAATTAACACTAATTACTACAATACATGCAAATACTAACATGAAATGTATGTGTATTGGGGAAACCCCCGGAAAAATCAAATTAATATACAAAATCATGCATGCTTGCCATGGTATGGCATAAAATAGGAAATTTCATAGTAAATAGTCTCAGATGCGGGCTTTGTTTGTACTACTATGCGTATCGGACAGCAGACTGATGCAACATTAGTTTATAGTTGTTGCATTGAGTAACAATGTGTGTGGCGGCCAGGGAGCCCTTAAACTAAAACAAGTTCAATCCGTTAATGGCGAAGACTAGTAATGAAGGCTTTAAAATTGTCACAACGCATACACAACTCGCCTGACAGTGACCATCCGGTAGTCCACGGCCTCATCCAGTTCGAACCAATCAAGCAGGCAACCCGCATAATGGCCTCATTCATTTACACGCTGTCAGCCATGTGAATGTAATTAGCGGCCCGTTGCTGTTGCGTTTACTTTATATAAATTTTGTTACATACTTACATACAAGCACATACACACATAGTTGCAAATGGCGGTCGATTCGAGACAGACACATTGCGACCATATGTGGCTCTACTGTAGTGTGGCTGTAGATTCTGGGGATATCGTGAGTGTGGGTGGTCCAAAACTTTGGCAACAAAAAGAATCCAATCGAAAAAAAAATATATTGTATATGTTAATAATAAGTAAATAATGTTCAATTATGAGACATTAAACTCAAATTGTAATGTAAAAAATCTGAAAGTTTTTAAAAAATTAAAGAGAACTTTCATAAGCCTATTTTCAAAAAATATACACAAAATACATGTAAAATACATTTAAAAAATTTAACGTAAACTTTAGTAATCTATTTAGTGATTTAATGTCATTAAATTCAAAAATTAAATTATGATAAGAAAAAATATAAATCTTAACAAAAAAAGAGAAAGGGGAAAATTTAGAACTTAATAAGATTTTTTTAACTAATTTCACACTAATAAATATATAAATATTTATATATATATACATCAATTTTTCATCCTGTCAAACGGGTTATTTGTTCAAACAATTTCCATATCAATGAGTGTAAGCTAAAGACTTCCTTTTTAACCGAAATATTTAAAAGAAATGTATTGGAAAAAAAACAAAAACAAAAAACAAACAGAAACAAATAGGATTTTTGATTTTGCCTTGCGGGTGAAAAATGGAAGAAAATTCATTGGCATTCAAAAATGCACAAAAACTTAGTTACATCTTTTTTCGCGCCAACCATAAACCCTAAACCCCAATTCTGTAGTTTATAGAAGAATACATACATATGGAAATATAGAAACAAACAGAAAATGAATTGAATTTCCAAAAAAGAACATAACCTATAAAGAAAAATGTAATACAATACATAAAAATTGAAAAAGAAATATTAACTATGTATTGGGTCGCCCCAAAAGAGTTCGGCGATTTTCATACAGACGCCGTTGACAATTTTTTTTGAACATCTTCTGACCAAGACGAATTTACAGAAGGTGAAGTTGTCACACGGTATGGTTGCTTGTTCTTCCTTCCATTTCAATAAATTATACAAACAAAATACTTTGAACGATTTTCATTTTTGACTTTTCGAAACTATCATTACACAAACAAAATGCATAGGTTTTTTGTTTTTGCATTCTTACTACTACCGTGTGTGAATTCCCCTTGCTTCTGACTATATATTATTGGGTTGCCCAAAAAGTAATTGCGGATTTTTCATATAGTCGGCGTTGACAAATTTTTTCGACGGCTTGTGACTCTGTAATTGCATTCTTTCTTCTGTCAGTTATCAGCTGTTACTTTTAGCTTGCTTTAGAAAAAAAATGCGCGAAATTTTATTTACATTTGTTTGTTTGGCGTCAATTTTAATATGAAGCCCACAAAGGAGCATTTTCGTCATATTTTACTTTATTATTTCCGTAAAGGAAAAAACGCGGAGCAGGTTATTAAAAAGTTACGAGATGTGTATGGTGATGAAACCTTAAAAGGAAGACAGTGTCAAAATTGGTTTCGTAAACTCCGTTCTGAAGATTTTTCACTTAAAGAGGAGCCACGTTCAGGTCGGCCAAATGAAGTTAATGATGACCAAATCAAAGCATTAATTGAATTGGATAGTCATGAAACTGAGCGTGAGATAGGAGAGAAGTTAAATATACCAAAATCAACCGTTCATTATCACATAAAAAGTCTTGGACTGGTGAAAAAGCTTGATGTTTGGGTACCACATGTATTGAAAGAAATTCATTTAACACACCGAATCAACGCTTGTGACATGCACCTTAAACGCAATGAATTCGATCCGTTTTTAAAACGAATCATAACTGGAGATGAAAAATGGATTGTTTACAACAACGTTAGTCGAAAACGATCAAGGTCCAAGCATGGTGAATCAGCTCAAACCACTTCAAAGGCTGATATCCACCAAAAGAAGGTTATGCTGTCTGTTTGGTGGGATTGGAAGGATGTCGTATATTTTGAGCTGCTTCCAAGGAACCAAACGATTAATTCGGATGTTTACTGTCAACAATTGGGCAAATTGAATACAGCCATCAAGGAGAAACGGCCAGAATTGGTCAATCTCGAAGGTGTCCTATTCCACCAGGACATTGTTAGACCGCACACATCTCTGGTAACTCGCCAAAAACTGAGAGAGTTTGGCTGGGAACTGTATGGGAACCATATAGCCCTTACCTTGCACAGCTCAGACCAGTAGTTCTATGAGCGTGGAATAATAATGTTGCCGAAAAGGTGGCGAAAGGTCATCCAACAAAATGGAAATGTCATTATTGAATAAAGTTCATTATAGATTTATAAAAATGTATTTTCCGAAATCGATCATACTATAAGTGCAGCGAACCTTCAGAAACGATCTCGTAGTATTGACGGCTAGGAAGTTTTTGCTGTGTATTTGATGGGATTGGTAAGGACTATGCGCTGCTCCATTTGGGCCTGCAGTGGCAGCAATCGGACCATCTGAATGAAGCAATTGCCGAGGAGCGTCCAGTTTTCGTCGACAGAACAACACCAGATTACACGTATCGATGGTGGCTCTGCGGAAGCTCTGAAGCTCTGGTGGGCTCTTATGGATCCACTTTATATTCCGAACCCCACCCCAAGTAATTACCGAATATTTCTGTCTATGGTGCATGATTTGGCTGGAGAAGAATTTGCCTCGAGAGAAACTTGTGAAAACTGATTGATTCAACCTTTGGCCGATAGGGATAGAGGTTTCTATGAGAAAAGCATAATGACATTACCTTAAATCCGATAATTCCAACTATGGATTACTTTTTACTAGAATAATATTTTTTGGCTCATCTTTCTCGAGCTCAGTGCAAATAATAAAGTGTTTTTTCGCGGAAATTAATTAAAGAATTTGATGTTTAAAGCTTTGTTTAGGTCTTTAGGTGATGCCCTGATTGTGGAGTTATATCTTCAGTGTGAAGTGGCTTGTGGCTTCAGGTTACATATTTCAAGACAGTGTGAAGATTATATCATTACAGTAATATATAATTTTTCTTAAAAATTTATCCACAGTCTTTCGTCAACTTCATATTTTTCGTGCTTCTCTTTCCCAGGCGCAGGCAACACACACTGGGGCTACGGCTCAGCATCAGCATACTCGCCATATTTGGCAGGCAGTGGCCTATCCTCCTGCACAACACCCACATCGGCACAATTCAACAATCCAGCTTTGGGCTTTACCTGCTCCTCCAATGATCAGTCAAACAATCAGGACTTTACAGGCGGCACAAATCGAGATTGTGTACCAAGTAAGTAATAGAACTATTATTATTACCTGAAACAAAAATTGATTTCATATTTTAGCGTGTTCCACTTTCGCCCAAAGAAAATATAAAGAATTGAAAATTTCATTTATTTTCTTCATTCTCTCTTGCAGTGCTGCCCGACTCCACGGCCACCGACTTGGATCAGCACTTGAGCAATCTAGTTGGCTCTACCACCGGACAAATGACACATCACAGCCTGCTCGGCTCGAGCGGTCAATCGGCCATTTCTTCGACCGTCAATGGCGGCGTGGGAACCAACTCCATTCTCGTGCCACGCTATCATCACGCCAACACCAACAATGACTACAATGTGCACTCCAGCCAGAATGGACCGCGTAGTTTGAGTGACTCCTCTCAAGCCGAATCGCCCGTACAGGAAGACCTGCTCACTACGAATACACCAAATTTGGGGGGTGGCGGCGGTGTCAGCGGCGGTGGTGGCGGTGCCAATGGTACGAACAACGGCAACGGCAGTGCCAATGGCAGCAGCGGCGCCGGTGGTGGCAGCGGTAGCAACTCAGCGGCGGCAAATAATTCACTTGTCGGCGCGAGTCAAAATTTTCCCGGCCTGGTGAATCAAACACAGAACCCCACACACTACGGCAGCGGTAGTGGTGCGGGTGTCGGTGTGGGTGTGGGAGTTGGTGTAGGTGGTGGTGGCGCAGGCAGCACAGGAGCCGGTTGCAATGGCTCACTCTATCCCGTATTGCCGGCAAGTTTGCTCTACTCACAACTCTACACAGCGGCCAATCAGACACATGGCTTTCACTCGCATGCGCTAACACCATCACACGCCTCACCCAACTCATCGGTGCATGGCGCTGAACTGCAAAGTGTTATGGATCACATTAACAATGTGGGTGTTGGGGTGGGTGTGCGACAGCAGCATAACATTATGACAGGTGGCGGCGTAACACATCCGGGTGATTTAACGCTGATCGGCAATTGTGGCGCCTCAGTGCGTAATATTGAAGACGGCAGTAATACGCAGCGGCAGGTTGCAGCCTTGGCGGCACACCGTGGACACCACACACCCACCGATAATGGGGGTAGCGTGTGGCGGCCATATTGAGGTCAGGTGCTCTGGTGCGGCTCGGCCGTCCTATAGTGTTACGAGAACCTGGAGAGCGAGCGTGAGAGCGCCGGCACCAGTGAACCGACAAAATATTGGTATGGCTGAAGGGAGGGGACGTTTTGAAATATTAGTACTTTAATAGCGAGCGTGGTGGATTTTTCTTTGGTATGGTAAGTTAAGAAGGAGTTGTAATTGTGCAATAAGTATGAAGGCGTGGTGGGTTAATTCAATTTGCGTATTTCACCACGAAATCTTGTAAATTTTTGTGTAAATAATTTAGCTTCCTCTTGAGGGAACTTTTTTTTTGTAAATGTAATTTTATAAAAACTTTAATGCATATAAGGAAAAACTAGTCGAATTTGTTTTTAAAATATTAGTGTTAAAAGTGAAATAGTAGTTGATTTTCTCATATATTATTTAATTTTAATCAAACTCTGTACTTTAAAAACAGTATATATAGATATATATGTATAAGTCTCTAAGAGTCCTTAGCAAATCACCAAACTAATAATAAAAACAAAAAGTTTAAATCTTAATTTTAATAACTAAAAAATAAGCATAAGAAATATAAAAATAATAATAATTATGCATTAAAAAGTGTTAAACAATTGAAAAAAAATAACATTTAACAATAATAAAAACATAAAAACAAAAAAAAAACGTAAAATAAGTAAATTACTTGTACTTCAATGCATATGTATGTTTGTATGTATGTAAATGTTAAGTGTATCACCCTCAACAGAGCATAAGTAAGTTCCTAAGGCCTTTCAAAAAATTTAGCTTTTAATTTCAAAATAATTTTTAAACACAATTATTTTTATATATTAAAAGTTATTATTTAAAAAATTATTTAGAGCATTCACAATAAAAATATTTTAAAAGCGGAAATAATAAAGATATTTTCAATTTCTTCAAGAAGTTCAAAATTATATACAATATTTTTTTTAATAATATTAATAATCTATTATTTAATTTAAAAACTTTTTAAACTCTCCCTTCACTAATATACAAATAAATTAATTTTTTTAATGAGGAATTGATGCTTAAAGTAGTGTGATTTGAAAATATATCGAAAAATGATTTAAAAAACTAAATAATTATATATCTACTTACGACGTGTGCTCAAAAAATATCGCTATTTTTTTTTTTAAATTATTTATTTATTCATGAATATCTATTTTGTCCCCTTCAAAGTAATCCCCATGAGATATTATACACTTGTGCCAACAGTTCAAAAAATCATTTTTTTCATCTTGTTCAGCTCCTCCTTCGATGCCGTCTTCATCTCGTCAATCGTAGCGTAACGTCGTACTTTCATGGGCCTCTTCAGTTTAGGGAACAAGAAAAAGTCACAGGGGGCCAAATCTGTGGAATACGCTGGCTGCGGCATCATTAGTGTGTTGTTTTTGGCCAAAAAGTCGCGCACAAGCAACGATGTGTGAGCAGGGGCGTTATGGTGGTGCAAAAGCCAATTTTTGTTCTTCCACAAATCCGGGCGTTTCTGACGGATTGCTTCGCGCAAATTGCGCATAACTTGCAGGTAATATTCCTTATTGACCGCTCTACCCTGTGGCAAGAACTCATGATGCACCACGCCATGATCCATTTTTTTGAATAGGTAAAAATCAAAACCATCCAAGACACGTGCAAGCAAAGCAGCTGTCAACAATTAAGTGAACATTCAAAATGACCAAGCTTGGCTGCATAGGTGACAAACATGAGTACCAACATAACGCCACAAAGAAATCGAAATTCGATTATGCGTAATCCACGAAAATTCAAAATTCGCGATACTCTTAGAACACACCTCGTATATGCTTTTATTATATATGTAATATCAGGTGTAGTAAAGAGAAATCAATTATTTATGCATGAAATTGAAATCTTTAATTTTCTACTTTTCGTATCCAGCCTTATTCGAATTGTTCTTTAGCGATCGAAACAGTGCTCACATGACGGTCGGACCCCTCTTCTCTTTGCTCTTTGAAGCACGCTCAGTAATAACTGAATCAACCTATCACAAAATTGTTAGAAAAGCTTCTACAATACGAAATTTCGTCTATCTAAGGACTTCTCGTAGCATCCGATCGGACTTCTACTACGCGAGCTACAGATAAATAACGCCATCTATGAAAATAATGGATTTCTTTTTACTACATCTAATATAATACTAATTCAACTAAGAGTAATCCATTACTTTTGCACTAAATTTTTTTATTTATCAACATTATTTTTTATTTATTAAATCGTCTTTGACATGGGAAGCCTAACAATAAGTGAAAATGGTGAAATGCATGTAAGTGGCGCTTTATAAACTCTGAATCGTTATTCCGCCAAGCTTCTTCTCCAATTTGTGGTATGCGTTTTGAATTCTTCGAAGAAATGGAGATACTCACAGTTTATTTTAAACCACCCTTCGAATGGAGGAGTTTTCTCATGTCATAAATGCAAACGGATGGCATGAAATTCTCAACCGACTGCAGTTAGAAAAATTAAATTAATTCAGAATATCAGAATACCGTTACCATAACCATATTTTGCGTCCCTGTTGAAACTAATAGCTTCAGCCTATTGACTATTGTTTCCTCATGGAAACGGAATTTTCCGACTGTTCTGTTTACGATAATGTCGCCTAACATAGTTTTGATATGGTGACAGGGGCAGCAGTCGTGGGTGGGTGCGCTCTAAGCATAAAAAGCAACTTTGATCTCAACATTTTTTTCCCCGATCAGAGCATGATGGTTGCAAACCAGCGATAAGCTAAACACATATCGCTTTAACGCGAATTTCGAATAGCACTCATTCAAGCGATTGAATTTGTTTCCAAAAAAATCAATAAATTTGTACGAAGTGTGCCTAATCTCTTCAAATTAGTTTTCTATCCAGGTTGTTTTTCAATTTGTTTCGAGTTAAGGTTGGGTGTCAACGCTGCGTAATTCGAATAAATGATATAGACGGTGGTAGAAGGTTTAGAAGATGCCTGTTTGTGGTCTTTATCTGGATATCATTGATATCTGCGAGTTTTCCGCGCGTTTTGAAAGTAATTTAGTTCATGAATGACATTGAAGAGTTCAGAAAACACTGTTAGTGTAAATGAGCTCTTTTAACGCACTTTTTTTGGCATTCAGTTGCTGAGTCGCATTGTCAATTTCGATGGTTGATATTCAAACCGCCAGCTGACTCTCAACATGATATTATCAGTTCCATCATTTGGCTGAAACACCTTGCTTAACCTCGCAACTGATTATTGAGCTCGTTAAAGTGTTCATCAATACCATTTTCACTGCTCAAAATTAGGTTGACTTTAAAGTGACCACGCAGAGAGGTTGTGCGTACCATATAACGAGGAATGTGAGATTTAAGACACTTCCTTTGCGAACTCTCCACACTTTAGAGCAGTAGGTTGAAGTCTCTAGGGGAGGCAACCTTTGGAGACATGAGCTGGATAGCGGGGTCGAAGTTACGTTGACAGCTCCGTTTTACAAACTACACACATTGATTTGATTAGCGTATGGGCGTTATTAGGATCCTCAGTGGTGCCACAATGGGTCGGTTTGGAGGCCTAAGAAAGCTGATATACGGCAACCACTTCAACCAACCAATCAACGTGGCTACCAATATTTTTTTGTAGATATTTGATTCAGTTTGTTTCTTTGCTTGTTAGACTTGGCTCTTGTGCAACTATCATCGCTTGCCAATAAATTTGTATTGAAACTGGAGAGTGGTCAGCGGAAGTGTCAGCTGATACAAGCTGCCTGTCGTGTTTTCTTGAAACACCGAGGCTTATTAAGTTAGATGTTTTCCTTCCATCATTAGATTAAAATGTTGGTTGAACTGGAGAAATTGAGTCTAAATTAGTTGGCGTCGCTTTGGCGTTATTAGTCGTGTCGCCAATAGCGGTGTTCTGAATTATGGCCTACTTCGGCTATATTTTTTTAAATAAATAATGAAAATGTGAGAGAAAATGTATGAAATGTATATTTCTAGAGTTTTGCTGAAATCTCAATAATTAATTATGAGTAATTTTGTTTAAAATATTTTTTTAATTTTTTTTTATTTTTTTTTTTTGATTATTTAAAATAGAAAATGTCAATGATTTCATCCGCTTACCACAAACAAAATCTGAAAAAAATATGCAAAATGCAAAATACTCGTGCAATGTTAAGTATTTTTTTAAAAGAAATCGTTAAATTTTTTAATAAAATTTATTTTTTTTATACATATAAACGTATGTTTAAGTAAGTGTATATGTAATATGCTTTTCAAATCAATATTACCAAACATTTTCTAAAATTCCTGTTAATATTTGGTTAAATAAATAAAACTATTTTGTATGTATGTGTAACTTGAAAATATCAATATGTTTGTACATGGATTATTGCATACGAAAAAATATATATATTAGCAAAATCATTGTAACAAATCATTCATATATACATACGAGTACATACACACTAGAAAACAGTGTGTATAAATATATGTATGTATATGAAATTATATGGCAGCCATGCCTTAAACTAATAGCAAAATTTTAAATGTAAATACCGTTTAAAAATAATAATTAAAAAAAAAAATAATTCAAACAATAGAAACAAACACTAAACCAACCATACAAACACAAAAGTACGAGTTTATAAATAAATATGTGTGTGTAAGGAGTTGAAAATCAACATTTAGGAATTTTACAAAGAATAATTGCAGACATTTTAATAGAAAATAAACAACTATATAGAATATATACACATATGTATAAATACATATGCATGCATGTACACATATGCAGATGTAAATAAATATAAATTTATGTATGTAGGTGTGCGTGTCAAATTTCTGTCCAACTCAAAATTTCTTTACGACAGTTGTATGTAACTTCACTCAGTTATTACAAGAAGAAGAAAAAAAATATCGATGAAGAAAAAAAAACTATATACATTTATATGTATGTATGTATGAACGCGCACTTATAGATTCAACTCTTGCATACATACATACACGTATGTAAGTACTAACGTACACTGGAAAGCAAAGAAAAAAAATACATGCTAAATATATATACAT